CTCGTCGAGTTCCTCCAAAACACAGAAAAACCGTGAAATCCCTGAGTCAACTCTCCGACTTTTCCCACCAACTCGTCGAGTCTACGCTTGTCTAAAGGTCGGGAAGAACCCTAACTGACTCGTCGAGTCTTCTTACTAACTCCCCGATTCCATTCAAAACCAATATGAGCAATCTTCAACCGACTCGTCGAGTCAACCATGCAACTCGTCGAGTCCCAATCAGTCCATCACTCATTCAGACGATTTTAAGCTGCTCCAAAGCTCCAAGCAATAGATCTATGCTCCTAGGGTGTTGTTATTACGTAAATTTGCTAACTTTACGTGCATGCAAGGTTCTATGAAGCTAAAACACTCATAAATAGCATTAGGAGAGAAGGTTTTGGACATAAAGGAGGGATAGGGATTCATAAAGCTTAAGGCTTTATGTCCATAAGGACTTGGGAAGTCAAGATCTGAAACTATGCCCTTGTGACAAGCTCAAATCCGAGTGTGACCCCATCATGCCCTAGAACTGACAATTCTTATACCAAAAAGGGAGATCTAAATGAAATGAAAAGGTGGTAGCTTTATACCTCACACTTGTTGTCACAACACTAGAAAGGCTGGATCTACAAGCTCTTCTTTGTCCCAAGCTCTTAAGTCCTCAAGAAATGCTCCAATACACTCTCTTTTGGTCTCACACACTCAAGAATAGAGACTAGCTAGCTTTTAGGGTTTCTCTGGACGTGAAGGTGATAAGGGAGGATGAGGAGGAAAGTTAAGGACCTTTTAATAAGGTGCAAACCCTAAAATTAGGGTTTTCACTTTCCAGCACCTATTCATCGATTCGGGTCCTCCAACTCGTCGAGTAGGGTCTAAAATCCACGCGGCTGATTTGGTCACTGCTCGACGAGTTGGCCTATCCACTCGTCGATTTGCCTTTGAAACATGACTCTTAGAGCTTTACACTGATATCGGGAATTCGGGATGTTACACAATCTCATTATAAGTACAAAATTTAAGTATGGAATACTCAATTCCATTCCTTGTTCCCCAAATTGCCATTGGGTCAAAACAATCACTAATGATATAAATTCACTAGAATTCCTTCATGTTTATATACCAATTCCATCTCTAGAGTGCCAGTTTCTATTTATGAATGTCATTCACTTCTAATATGTCAATCGTCATGTAATTATCCATAGATTTCCTAAAATACCCCTATGACCAAAAATCCCATAATATCAACTAAATATCATTCAAGTTTTCATGTTTTTGCATTTAAATCATGTTATTAGTATCAACTTGTGTTTTTGAGTATCATATAATCATCACATGCTCACATAAAAGGATTCCATCGTTGTCATCACAATTCACCCAAAACCATTTAAAATCCATGTTTATACAGTATTCTACCATCATCGGTGAATTTGAGCATTGTAATTGGGTTTTTTTCTATCAAATATGATCTAGTTCATAGAATTCAATCCCATTTCATCATCAATTGTAATATCCCCAAATTAGATTTCTAGGGTTTAATAGGGTTTTCACCTAAATCCTTAAATCTATGTAGTAGGATGATTGGATTGAGGTTGGGATGAAAACTACCTAAAGGAGGTTAGAAACCAATACCCTAATCATCAAATGAGTTGAAAATAGAATATAACTCCAACTCCATAGATGAGACTCAAATTCTACAACAAGCGAGGAAGAAAGTATACCTTGAGCCACTTGATTTCTTCGCAACTCGCACCAAATGAACCAAGAAGGATTGAGATCGACGCATATGATTTATCTTGAGCTCTAATCACCATTTCACTTCCTATTTCAAGTAAAACACGGCTGATATGAGGGAGGGAAGAAAGAGCGCATCTTATTTCCTTCATTTTTCACATTTAGTCCCTCTAGTTTGCCAATTTTTCTAATTTCCACTACAAAATCATATTTTTTGATTTTAGCTTAAGTTTTGACATAGAAAGTCCTTCTCCATCCATTATCTAACGTTTGTAGTCCCTTCCATTAATTGAGTCAACCCTTTGGTCAAATCAATTTGCCAACTTGACACTTTTTGGCCCTTGGACTTTGAAGTGTTGTCATTTCCACTTTTAACTGTCTAAACTTCATATCAACTAATGATATGATTATCCCATAATGATTGTAACGCGCACATTTCTCACTAGGCATTAATAATATGATATAATTATAATGGTCAATTGTTATAACCTTGTATGAAATAAATAAAGATAATTATTTGAGTATTATATGATTTATGTGTAGATATATTGTAGTATACATGTTTAAAACAATATAATAAAATAACAATAAAATATGCATCTTAAAAAGAATAATAATCACACTGAATAGCGTTAATGAAAGAGGAAGTGGTTGTAACGAGGATTACGGGGATATAAAGAACGCTAAAATCTGACTTCGTATGGAGAAGTTATGATCGTTTAAAGTTTTGTGTCAACCCGATGCAGCACAGTGCGTCATAAAAAGTGGATTTTAGATAGGTTGCTTATTTGCCTAAGCAATATAATGAAAGTCGTAGTAATAGTAAAACCGAGAGCGTGCATATAGAGAACACCTAAATCTGACTTAATGAGAGGAAGTTATGATTTTTCTAATATTTCAGCGTAACTATGTTAGCACATAAATCGAATTTTAGTTCGGTTGAATTTTAGCCGAAACAATATAAACGATAATTGAAGATCTCAATGATATGAGTCCAATGATAATAAGACAATCGGGAACGGACGTCGGATGAGAGAGTTATGAGTTTTAAATAGAGTTTAACAGACTATGTCTGTTTAAAATACACCAATACAAATAAAGTCAAAATTAGCCGACAGAATGTAAATGAAAGTTGTAGATATCATCGATAGCTACACGTAGATATAAAAACATCGAAAACGGAGCTCGTATGGAGAAGAAATGGAAATTTTTAAGAAAGCATAAATATTCGCGCGCAGCCGTGCGCACAGATAGTGGGCACAATGCGCCTCTGACCCTCCAAAAAATTTCAACACCTGTCACCACTAGAAAACTGCCATGTCACCCTCTGACATCGTGCGTGACGAGCGCTAGCTTTTTCGGGGGGATAATGTCACTGTAGCACATGGAACTTTCTTCAATTGGCTAATTTGGTCCTTAAAGTTTTTTTTGGTACATAAGGCCAGTAAACTCATATGTGACCTTTTAATTACACCATTTTATCAAGTTTTAGAAGGTTTCCCGGTTACAATGCTTATGTGGCATGCTGATGTGTCCAATAAGCTTACATGGGAAACTTATGTGTCGAAGAAGTCCAGTTATCGATATAGGCTTATTAATTCAAACCCTCATTCGGACCTCCATTAAATCTTTACTTACCCTTCTCTAAAAAGTCAAAGACTTCCCCCTCCCCGACTATTTCCGTCCTGAAGAAGAATGTCTTCGAGCTCATCGACGTCAAGGAATCAGCTACAAGTCACTCACGTTCAGTCGCAAGAAGGGGTAAAGGTTTGTGATTGTGTCGTTCCAGCTAAAGAACGAACCTGTTGGAAGATAACAAACCCTGGGAGGCGATTCTGGAAATGTCAAAACAGTATGGTAGGTCCCGATTCTCCTGATTTTGATAAGTTAGTATTTTATGGTTTGATGTGTTGTTTCTTTCTGTAAAGACGATAATGGTGTATTTGTATTTTGTTTCATCTGTTAAAAACCCTAATTTTATTTGCTTCTTGACGATCACTGTGAATAAAACCCATTTCATTGGTACATTAAAGGTAGCTGATTTGTGATTGTCAATCAAACCCTAATTTTATTGGCTTTTTATAGACTAGGTTGAGGAAATGTAGCTTCTTTGAATGGAAAGATGAAGAACAGGTAGACGGGTACTACAAAATCCTGCTATATTCTCTGAAGCAGAAACTGGATGCCAAAGAGGAACTGTCTGAGATGAACAATTTGAGGAGAAGGATTGCTGAAGTGGAGTTTCTGTTGTCACAGGAGCAGTATAAGTTGGCAAAGAGTGAGAAAGAAGTTCATGATGCAAGGAATGCAATAGGCAGGTACAGGATGATAGTTTCCATGTTGTTTGCTTGCTTGTCCCTATGTGTTTTGAAGTTAGGGGGGTGATTGTAGTTAGTTAGGTTGGTTAGTGTAAGCTTTTGTTTTTTGGGATCCCTTGTATTTTTTGTAAAGGCAGACTAGAAAGTCAGTAATGATGGGCATTTTGTCTGTTTTGAAGCTGCTTTTAGTTATAAGTTTGGGTTATCAACCTTGATGTGTTGATGTTGTAAGGTGGTAAGTCCCTAATGAAAGGGCATATGATAAGTAATGTAAAAAATATTTAAAGGCCCAATTGTAGGGCATTTTGTATAATCAGATGTTGATGTTAATCAAACATATGCATGGCCTGTATTCCCAACAGATATATTTAATTAGATTCGTTGTTGTGCATGTTTTAAATTTGGGAACAAATGAGGAAGTGGTCCATGTGGAAGTACACTATGTGTATGGGGACCATTTGTAGTCAGTGGGTGTTTTAATAATGAGAAAATGGGACCTGTGAAGCCATTATAGAACCATATCTGGGACCATATAAAACATTCCCATGCATGCACATTATTCCAATTTTTTCCATGCATAAATATTCAAAGCCAAATGTCATGATTTTACTTAAAAAGGCAACATACTTTCATACTTCATGTCATACATAAATAAATGACCAACATACCCTTTTCTGTCATACATAAATAAATGACCAACATATCCTTTTCTGTCATACATAAATAAATGACCAAAATACCCTTTTCTGTCATACATACTTAAATGACCAAAATACCCTTTTCTTTCATACATACTTAAATATAAATTACCATCATCCTATTACATAAACTTTAAATATAAATTACCATCATCCTATTACATAAACTTTAAATCCAAATTACCATCATCCTATTACATAAAATTTAAATCCAAATTACAATAAACGCAAATCAATTACAAGAGCTTTTCCATTCGAATTTCCTGGATCATCAACACCACCAATTGTTTTGCCTAATTTCAGCTTCTGAATTTCTTCTCCTTATCCTCTTCAAAATCTCTGAAATTGGCCTAACACTTACCTGCTGAACCTGGATAACAGGAGCAACCTCCTGAACATTAACATTATCAACTTGGATAATAGGATCAACCTCATCAACCTCCTGAACATTAACATTATCAACTTGGATAACATGATCAACCTCCTCAGCCTCCTCATCTTGAACAGCTTCCTCAACCACAACAACTTCCTCAACCATATCAGCTTCCTCACCCACAACACCCTCATCACCTTCATAACATCTAGGTGGAGTAAATTGCATATAATGAATAAAATCTCCTGCAGTACTGGATTCAACATCAGTAGGAGTAACTTGCATATCATTTTGAGTAGTATCCATCTCAATTGGAGTCATTTCAACCTCTTGATGTTGTTGTGGTTCACTTGTACTACCCCATATGGCATGTTATAATTATGTTAGTAACAAATCATATGTAAATAAATTTAAATTTTAAATGGTTTTACCTGTCCTGCATTTTGCTTCACACAAACTTTTTATTTCTTCTGTTTCTTCACATTTAACTTTTGGGGCCGTCTTTGTGGACAAGTGGCCTTGTTGTTACCTATCTCCTTGAAAATACTACATCTGATTTTCTTTCCAGCCTTAGAAACCATGTGTGTTCCTGTATTCTCTGTAGTGGATTTCTTCCTCTTAGTAGCTGGCCTACCAGGCATCCTTCTATTAATAGGAGGCAATGGTGGAGTATAGTTTGTCTCTGGACACATGTCACTGCTATTCATGGGAGCAATTCTGTAATTTTATGCCTTCCCAAATGTGGTTGTGCTAAACATGTTGTCTACATAGGCTTCTACATCCCTATTAAGAAATGATATGCTAGCTACAGAATGAGCGCATCCATATCCATTCAATTGCCACAACCTACATGAACATGTTTTCCTTTCTAAGTCCACCTCATATGCATCTATTGCTCCCCTTACCTCAAACTGGTTTAATCCACTTGGTAGTACCTGATAATGCCTTTGAGCTTTTTTAAGCAAATTCACCTTATCCCTTATCTCTGGACAAATATGATTTCCCCATTGTTCCTTTAATTTCATGTTGTAGATTCTGTCCATCATGTATAATCTTAACTCCTCTAACATGGTTATTATGGGCTTCTTCCTGGCATCTACTATTACAGCATTAAAACTTTATGAGAACCCATTTTCAACTACATCACAACACCTTCCAGTTTGAAAGAAAGCTCTTGACCATGTTTTAGGTTCTTTCTCCATGAGATATTGATGGGCATCTGGGTTCAATGTCTCAATTTCTTTCATCACAACTTTAAAAGCATGCTCAGTTGTGGATTTAGATGCTCTTCAAAACAAGGTATGATATATGGCACCAGTGAATCTCTTCTGCAAATTCTGGCAAATATGTCTAGCACACTGCCTGTGCTCTACATATGGCAGCAACTCTTTAACAGCCTCTATCAAACCCTGTAGTAGTACAAAGGTTTAATTCAGATAGTGTAAAATAAATATAAATGCATTACTATGTAAAATACTAACCTTATGTTGGTCTGACATTAAACTAAAACCATTGCCTAAATTCCAGTTTAGATCATCAATGAGAAGCTCTAAAAACCACCTCCAATTCTCCTTGTTCTCCACATTAACCACTACCCAAGCAATAGGATATATCTTGTCATTTGCATCCCTCCCAATAGTACAAAGAAATTCCCCCTTACAAACACCTTTAAGAAAACATCCACCAAGACCAATTATCCTTCTACACCCTTCAATCCAACCTTGTTTAACTCCTTGAAAACAACAATAGAACTTGCTAAAATATTTATTTCCATCTGGACCATCCTCCATATCTAGTTTCACAGTTGACCCAGGATTTGTCCTTAAATCTCATGACCATATGACCATAGCTTACCATAATGTTCAACAAGGCTACCTTCAACAAGTTTCAGTGCATACTTCTTTGCTCTTCTACATTTCCCCATACTAACTTGGATACCAAACTTGGCCATTACCTTCAACCTAAGCTTCTTTACACTTATTTTCTGACTTTGTACAATCTCTTTCGTATAGTGACTCCCAATCCATGCATATGTCACCAATGATCCAAACTTGAAGTTCCTAGCACAATTATGATCAGCTTTTAGTGACTTGATTTGGAAACTCTCTTCATCACTCATCCAGGAAGCCCATAATCTAAATGTACAAGCACCTTTTCTACACCTCACTAAAAGTCTTGTCCTATCATTTTTTTTCAAAACATAATTGATATCCATTAGCTACAGCATAGTTACACAACATTGATTTTACTTGCCCTGGACCCTTAAATCTCATCCATGTTTTGGTTTTTGTTTTTTCTAGTGTAATAGCTCATTAAATATGGAATGAGTTTTTATGTTAACTTCAACTTCTCTCCCATTGTCATCATCTACAATGTTGTTTTCATCCTCATCATCAACACATAACTTACTCAAGAAAGGATCATTTGATGTCCTATTCATATGCACTACATCCTCATTAAATTCAAAGGCAACATTCCTAAGTTCATATATGGTATCTTCATTTTCACCATCAATACAAGACTCATGTTCATCATCATCATTATCTTCATCATCAAGCCACCCATCAACACCAACCCCAGTATGATCCACATAAACCGAAATTACACCATCTGTTCCATAAGCATCAAAAATAAAAGCAGCATATTCCACATCATCTGAAATTGGATTAAACCCTTCCATCAGGGAATTGCCTGGTTCACAGTAGTAAAACTTTTTACACTCTTCATGCATGAAACGTTTGAAGAAGTTCACAAACTCATAATAAGTCATAGAAGAAAAGTCAACATCAGTGAACATGGTTTTCACACCACCAGTGTAAGAGAAAGGATTTCGATTAAATACCCCTTGGTAGTTCAGTTCCACCATCGCAAACAATCCATTAGGTTCCAATTGTGCCATTGCTGCGACTACTTTGCTTCTTAAGCTCGATCACAGGAATGCTTCACAAACCCTAACTCGATTTCTTTTACAGCTGACTAATGAAGACGACTGAAGTTCGATAGTTGAAGACGATAGGATTTAAGCTTCTTATATCATTAATTGACGTGGCATATCTCACGTGGCATTGGATTAGACAAAAAATATATATTAATTCACATATATTAAAGGTCAACCGAAATTACACCATCTGTTCCATAAGCATCAAAAATAAAAGCAGCATATTCCACATCATCTGAAATGGGATTAAACCCTTCCATCAGGGAATTGCCTGGTTCACAGTAGTAAAATTTTTTACATTCTTCATGCATGAAACGTTCGAAGAAGTTCACAAACTCATAATAAGTCATAGAAGAAAAGTCAACATCAGTGAAAATGGTTTTCACACCACCAGTGTAAGAGAAAGGATTTCGATTAAATACCCCTTGGTAGTTCAGTTCCACCATCGCAAACAATCCATTAGGTTCCGATTGTGCCATTGCTGCGAATACTTTGTTTCTTCAGCTCGATCACAAGAATGCTTCACAAACCCTAACTCGGTTTCTTTTACAACTGATTAATGAAGACGACTGAAGTTTGATAGTTGAAGATGATAGGATTTAAGCTTCTTATATCATTAATTGACGTGGCATATCTCATGTGGCATTGGATTAGACAAAAAATATATATTAATTCACATATATTAAAGGTCAACCGGGAAACCTTCTAAAACTTGATAAAATAGTGTAATTAAAAGGTCACTCACGAGTTTACTAACCTTATGTACCAAAAAAAAACTCTAAGGACCAAATTAGCCAATTGAAGAAAGTTTCATGTGCTACAGTGACATTATCCCTTTTTTGGGTATAAATAGCTTTCGAAGTTCAACACATTTCCACACCTTTTACTTGTTTCTCTCTCGAAATTCTCTACGTATTGGCCCAAAATTCCCTTAGTATTAGTATTCAGACGAAGCCCTACAATCCTTGAGTGTCCGAAAAGTAGTAGCCCTCGAGTAGGAGCTCTATAGTCCAATTTCCGAACTTTTGTCTAGAGAATCTCTGTAAGTTAAATTACACTCTATATTATTTTAATTGTATTTTATATTTATATTCATATTCATTGTTATGAATTTATAAATAAGATTTGTCAGTGATTCCAAGTCATTATACTGATTGATCTACTTACAGGGGTAATGTCTAGGCAAGATTTAGTGAGCTGTTTAAAGTGGGATTTCGAAACAGTATACTCTGTATACCAAACGGACCCTACCTCCGATATGATCTTATCTGGTTGTTCCTTACTTGATAGATCTTGATGTAGAGATTGGGATTGTTGAGGAATCTAGACTATCGTTATTCATAAGAAATGAACTAAGACTTAATGATAACTGAACCTAGGTCACATCAAAGGAAAAACCAAGTGATGAAGTGAAGCGTTGCCCAACTTTCGCGTCGTCCACTTTATCATAGTTAGTTTCAACTTACACATAGATATAAAGTATCTAGATGATTAAATGTTATGTGTGCCTATTATCTTTATTACTTGATATATGTGTTTACTGAATTATCTGATGTTACTTGATTTAATCATGTATGTATTTTCGTATATTTGTATAAAATATATTAGGTAGTGATGGGTGATGAAAATGATGAGATGATGATGAGAGGGCTTGACCTTTGATGAACCAGTTATCAATAAGAGTATAGATGACGACCACAAACTATTCTAGACAATCCAGTGGAACACTAGCAGGCTCGCAACTTGTCGGTGTTAGTGAACTATATGTTCATTGATGTACTTTGTCCCCCCATGGTTTCATTATGGATACATATTACTAAAGGAATTTCCTAAGCAGTATTATCTACCCATTATTGACGATGATCCTTAGGATAGGTCCCTTGAGATCAGTATATTAGGATCAATATGTAAGGATAACGAGAATGCGTAATCGGGTAAACTATTTGATGTAGATATACAATTAAAGAACTTAATTATTGTGGGTTGAAAACCCTATGTGCTCACCAGGCTCCCAAGCCTGACTCACTCAGTTTCTTTATATCACAGGTAGCGGTACGAAGGCTCTTTGATGATAAGTGATTTGAGGAGATTGTAGGCCATTAGTAAAATAAGATGTTGTAAGACGTATTAAGAATTATTTATGCTTTTGTATATGTATTGAGAATGATAGCCCATGGTTTTAAATAATAATAAAATACATTTCCTCGGAAATGCTTTGATAATATATTTATCATGTTTTGGGAATAAATTCCACACTAATTTTTTATACTCTGAAATAAATAAAGCATAACTAAAAATTTTCAAATTGGTCGTGGAATTGAGGATGTTAAAATGATTTATTTACAAAATCATCCTTTTTTATTTACTTAATTTATTTAAGAAC